CTCGGCATGATGTCTAGCTTTTGAGGATCTTTTGGTCTACTTCACTTTGTCAGGCAGGTCCTATTTAAGAGATTTCTTGATTGCGAACAGGTGTGGCAGTAATCAGGCCTGGGTGTTGCTAGAGAAATTGAACTCAGGTGTGATAAACCACAGTTTAACAGGGGGGCAAACACTTCTTCACACAGGGCCATGTAGTTTTGGATTTTGTTTTACCTTAATAATAAAAACCTTCATTTAAAAACTGCATGTTGTGTTTACTTGTTATCTTTGACTAATATTTAAATTTGTTTGATGATCTGAAACATTAAAGTTTGACAAACATGCAAAAAAATAAGAAATCAGGAACCAACTTTTTCACACCACTGTAAATGTATAAAACGTTTGTTTATTTGAAAAATATATCTAACCAACTTCATCTAACTGCAATAAAGACAGCAAACAGTGCGCGAGAGTCGCGGGAATCAGTGACTGCAGTGCTCCGTTTTCAACTCTTCCCTCGACTTCAAGCGGCAAATCTCACCGATCGGTATTCGGTAAGTTCGTTTGAGATGCCAGACGCCTCTCCCTGAATGAGGACTAGAATAGACAGCAGCAGTCATCCTCTAATCATATTTGTGGCAGTTGTACAAGCGTTTGGGTGAACTCCATGCTGGTAGCGATAGCGCTTACTATGCTGGCGGAAGTAAGAATACCCTGCTTCGCATCAGAACGGAAGTTGCGTGACGTCATGTGAAAAGGGCCTATTTCTGGAGGGCCGGAGCCCTGCAGAGTTTAGATTCAAAATTATTTTATTTACCTAGATTATCTTTGTATATTATTAAGAATGTGTGTGACATAATTAATTTTTTCTGAATCTGTGTGTCCAGAGCTGAAAGCAGAGGTGGATAAGCTCCGTGCGGCTCAGATGAGCTCTCAGGGCATCGAGCCAGAGAAAATGAGACTGTTTCAGCAAGAGATCACCTCTCTTAAGACTAAACTCTCTCAACAGGAGCATGAAATGGCCGAAGCTCACAGGTGTGTGGATAGAAACTACAAAACTCAGGGTTATGACTCGCATTATGCAATGAAAATAAAATGAAGTGCTGTGCACAACCCATTTGATTTTCGAATCAAACAGTATATTTGGGGAGGAATATCTAGTACGGAGAGACTTGATAATGTCTGTTGCGAATTAATTGTAATGGGGAAAGCGGGCATTATCAGAATAAAGCAAAACATTTAATTTTTTTTAATGAGTAAATGGGGTCAGTTTTGATTTGATTGACAACATGTGGTCACTTTTAATGACTTTTAGTTATATTGTTCATCTTATTGACTAATCTATATAATACATTTTTGTGTACTTGCTTTGTAATGATGTAAAATATATTTCGATGTAATATAAAACGTTGTCACAAACGTGCAGTTAGTGTGTCAAAGGTGCACCAAGATGTTTTACACATAATAAAACGAACAGTCCTTTGACAAATGTTTTAAAATTATGTACACTTACTTCATATCAAGGTTTTACATTTTATGTGTCATTCAATATGTGCAGAACTTGGAAAGAAAAGCTGGAAGAGGCAGAGAGGAGGAAACGTGAAGAAACCAAAGAGCTGCAGGTAATGAGTCGCCTCCACACTTGCAAATAACGGTCGGACTTCAGTGTCTGATGGATCGATGAGCATTTCAAATGTGCTTCATGGCTGTTTTCTTTCTCTTTCTTCTTCACTTTCTTTGTCTGTTTATTCACCAAACCTCGTTCAGCGCGCCGGCGTCACCTTTAAAGTGGATAATCGGCTGCCTAACCTTGTGAACCTGAATGAGGATCCGCAGCTGTCAGAGATGCTGCTGTACATGATTAAAGAGGGCGAGACCAAGGTCGGCAAGCTCAAGTCTGAGTCGGCTCACGACATCCAGCTGTCTGGAGCTCTCATCGCTGATGAGCACTGGTGAGACGGGTCACATCCACAGTCTACTACCACTCCATCATTCACTTCATTTTTGATTTGATTAAAGGAGGCATTTCATGTTCAAAATTATTGGACTTGTACATTTAAAGGAACATTTCAGCCAATTCTGTCATTATTTACTCACTCTCATATTGTTCCAAACCTGTATGAATTTCTTTGTACTACTGAACACAAAGGAAGATAGTTTGAAGAATGTTTGCAACCAAGCGGTTGACGGTAGCCATTGACTTCTATAGTATTTTTTTCCCATACAATAGAAGTCAATGGCTACCGTCACCTGTTTGGTTACCAACATACTTCAAAATATCTTCCTTTGTGTTCAGTAGTACAAAGAAATTCATACAATCTGGGAATGACACGAGGGTGAGTAAATGACGACAGAATTAGCATTTTTGGGTGAACTATCCCTTCAACTAAAGCTATTAAAATCAGTAATTGAAATAAAGCTGAAATAAAATAAAAAAATATATTCGATGAAATACCTAAACTTAAAAATTTAAAATAAGACTTGTGTAAAATTACTTAAACATAAACTAAAAGAAAACTCAAATTATAAAACTAATTAATATAAAACCTAATTTAAAATGTTAATAATAGTATATAAATGATGCTGTTCAAAGGAACACAAAAGAAGATATTTTGAAGAATGTGCTGGTCGCTCTTTTCCATATGATTACAGTGAATGATAAATTCGTTAAAATCCCCCTAAAAATGCTTATATATTTACTGACATACAGGAAATGTATTTTTATGTTATGACCGATAACGGATAAATTGACTGATGTTAAAAAAATAAAACAATCAAAAACAAAACTATTTTGTCTAAGTAAATTAGAAATAAAACACTTAAACTAAAATTTTAAATGCTGGTTAATTTGGGCATCACAATATTAGAATGTACTGTATGAAAAATGGACATTCATTTTGAGATTTGCTGATCATGAAGATTAAATTTTTTACAGTCTTTTACAGTAAATTATTAGTGCTTACAGTATTAACTCAGCGATGATGACAAAAGTAATCTAAATGTTATTTAGTAGCTGTGCACAAACAATTAAAAATGTAATATCAATCAATATATTTCCAATGTCATAATGTTTTTACTTGTATTTTCAGTGTCATCTCTAGTGTGAAAGGTACCGTCAGAATTAAACCGATGGCAAATGCCAAGACCTTCATGAATGGACATCTTGTGTCTGAGTGCACTGTTCTCCACCACGTGAGTTCCTGTCGCTCTTCTGAAGCGAAACGTCTGAAATGCCCTCTGTTCTGAGAACTTCCACATAAATCATGAAATTAGTTATTTGTTTATTCAATTTTGCTTCTCTATTTCAGGGAGACCGTGTGATTCTTGGAGGAGATCACTACTTTCGGTTCAACCACCCCGCTGAGGTTCAGAGCGGGAAGCGTGCGTCCTGTTGGAACAGTGGAGAAGGTCAAAAGGACTTTGAGTTTGCTAAAAACGAGCTGCTGTCGGCCCAGAGAGCTCAGTGAGTACAAGCCCAATATTCACCAATTTATTTACAGGAACTCATTTGACTTGGTTTAATGGGAGAAAATGCTTAAGAATTGTAAAATTGGCTGCTGTAAATCAAATCAAATTTTTATAAAGAAGGCCAAAACATATGAGGAGAGGTCTGTTTTTTATTTAAATTTTTCTCTATAGACTTGAAGCGGAGATCGAGGCAGCTCGGTTGAAGGCCAAAGAGGAGATGATGCAGGGCATTCAGGTGGCAAAAGAGATGGCACAGAAAGAGCTGAGCGAGCAGAAGAGTCAGTATGAGAAGAGGATCAAAGTTCTGGAGCGAGAGCTGGTAAGCTGTTCGCATACATGTCAGTGTGTAGTGTGTGTGACTCCTGTGTTCTCCAGCTAATCAAACGCTTCGTCAGGAGGAGGAGAGTGAACGGAAGAGAGACCAGGAGCTGGATAAAAAGAGGGTCGTCGGTCAGATAGAGCAACTGCAGACAGCAAGGTCTCTGCTGGAGCAGGAAGTCAACACCCATAAGAGACGTCTGCAGATGGAGGCCCAGGCTACTAGACAGGTCCAGAAAGATCAGTTCAAATCAAAATTTATGGTCTTTTTTTTTTTTCTTTCTTTCTTAAAGGGATAGTTCACCCAAAAAGGAAAATTACTCACTTAATTTACTCACCCTCAGGCCAGCTAGGACTTTTTTTTCTTCTTCAGTACTTTTAGCTGAAACTGTGGTCCTTGGTGATTCATAAAATGTATCTGATTAAAAAAAAAAAAGTAATTGGTTATACTGTTTCTTCAGTTTTAGTTATTTATTTAGATTTATGTATACTATTTATTTAGTCAGTTATAGTTATCCATTTTGTTTAGATATTCATTTAGTTAATTTAGCTAGTTAAATTTGTAATATTTATTTAGTTTAGTTATTTAGTTTTAGTTATTAAAAGTTACTTAATCTTAATCATAAGTTTAGCTAGTTGGTTATTTAGTTTTAGTTCTAATATTTATTCAGTTAGTTTAATTTATATAATTTTTTTGTAGTTAATTTAGTTAGCTTTAATTTGAGTTATATTTATTCAGAATATTTTCAGTATATTTATTCAGTTATGTTTCATATTTTTTTTTTTAGATTAGCTAGTTTAGTTATATTATTTATGTACTTTAGTAATTAGTTATTTTATTTATTTAGTTTTTATATTTAGCAACGCTTATACAAAAGATGGCTTCATCATCTTTTAATTTGTGACTCATTCAGATTTGTTTTCCATAGGCGTTGGCCGATCATGATATCCGGCATGCTAAAATTGTAGAGGCGCTTGAAGCAGAGAAGAGGAAGATTGCAGAAGATCTTGCTCAGATTGAGAGAAAACGTGCTCAAAAAATGGTCCAGGCCACTAAAACAGGTACATGCACACTTTAAATTTGGGGTTTTCCATCAGTAATGTTCTTAACGGTGTGTTATTCACCATATTTTTGTTCAGTGTTTGCAGCCTACCCACAGTGGGATGCCTTGAAGCTGTCTTTGATGATTGAAGAAGCAAACAAAATCAGTGCCAATCTCAGGAAACACACAGTCTTCAGCAGGTACAGTTGATTAGCAGGTGTAACTGATTTAATGTTCCTGGATCAACGTAATTGTTACAGTATTAACCAGAAGCAGAATTCATGCAAATTTAGGAACAATTTTAGGAAGTTTAGAAAACATTTTATTCAATTAATTTAATATTAAGTACATTTAAATAAATTATTACATTAATAAACAATAAAGTAATAGAAATTTCTATAGTGAATTTAATTTCCTCGTTATTATGGAAAAGTAATTCCAGTTAGTTGGCTACAAAGTGCTCTTTCTGAATACAGCATTTATAAATAAATGTAAAATCCCTGTCCAGCAATCACTAATGACTGAAAAAGTTTAGTCAAATTGTTTATAAGCGAGTAGTTTGTAAATTCTGCCTTTATTAAACATGAACGTTTTTGGATGGAATCAGACGTGGATTTGTGTTTTCATGACAGACATGAGGCAACTGATAAAGAGAGCGAGGGTGAAAACGCCCAACTGCAGGTCCAAGTTCAGAACACCAAACTGGGAATTTCCACCTTCTGGAGTCTGGAGAAGTTCCAGAGCAACTTGGCTGCCATGAGAGAGCTTGAGCAGGTGGCTTAAATAAAAGATGTTCACCTAATAAATAGCTGTAACCCTGCTGCATAGTGGCATTTGTAGCAAAGTAGTTACAGCATTACACTGTGTCCTAACCTTTTGACGTCATATAGTGACAAAGATATCCTCTTCAGTGTTAATCCAGGTTTTGTCTCTAACTGGATGCAACCATTTGCTGATTTGGTTTCTGTTTTTGTAGCTTTAAAACTCACAGAAGAAAAAACACAGAAGTTTTTGGTTTGTTGTTGTTGTTTTTTGTATTTTTTAATCTAATTTTTTTTTTGTTTTTTTTTTTGTTTTGTTTTTTTTGTTTTTTAGTTTGGTTTGTTTTGTTTTTGGTGGGGTTTTATTTGGTGTTTTTTTTGTGTAGCATCTCTTAATGTTTTGTTTCATTTAGGTTTTTTTTATTGTTTAGTGTTTTTTTTGTTTTTTTTCCCCCTTGACATCAGAATTTTGGTTTTATATAGTGCTTTGCCATATTATTATTATTATTTTATTTTTATTTTTTATATTTTTATTTGTGCAGCATTTCACTCAACATTGTGTTTTATTTAGTTTTTTATTTTATTTAGGGTTTAAAATTTATTTTATATATATATATGTATGTGTTTTTTTTGTGTGTGATGTTTTTGTTTTGTGTAGCAAGTCATTTGGAAAGTTTTGGTTGTTTTTATTTCATTATATGTAGCGTTTAGCTTTGTTGTATTTTATTTTTGTGTAGCTTTTACTTGAAATTGGAAATTTGCACCATACTTGATTTGAACAAAGTGCTGAGTATTTAACGCAGAGCTTAGTTGTTTGAACACCATAATATATGAGGCAATTTGAAGCCCGTTTATTTCCTTGTAATTATCCAGTAAAAGCAGGAAGCATGTAGTATGGGCACTTGCTGTTGTTATTATTATCGAAAATAACCGGTGGCTAAACCAAGTCTGATGTTTATTGGCTGTAGGGGGAGAGCGCCTCTAAAGATGATGACGTGTTTTACAACCCTAATGATGAGTGGGAACCAGACCTATCTGCCTCTTCCTCAACCTCGTCTTTCTCTCGCAGAAGGTATTTGAATTTATTAGTCTTCTCATGGAGTCCATGATGCTGCTCTTTGGCTCTCTGTACTTCTGTGTTGAGGAACGAAAGAACAGAAGCATACTTTGTGCCCAACACTGGGTCTTGTCTTACACCATGATGATAATTTTCCCTTTATAAACCGAGCCCTATGGAAACGCACATTCCTGCAGCATTTTTAAACCCATTTTCATTGCCTACATGACCATGTGACTACAGCTAAATTCAGTATTGGTGAATCAAAACCCCTTCTACAACTCTTAAGTCCTTTCTCTCACAGCTCATAGATATGCCTTTGCTTTTCACCCCTTGACTTCCTCTCATGTCTTTCAGTCCTTGGAATGAACAGTAAACAATATTCAACTCAAATTGTTCATCATGTAACCGGCTGTTAAAGGGGTCATATGATGTTGCTAAAAAGAACATTATTTGGTGTAATGAAATGTTTATGCAGTTTAAGGTAAAAAAACACATTATTTTCCACATACTGTACATTATTGTTTCTCCTCTATGCCCTGCCTTTCTGAAACGCGTTGATTTTTACAAAGCTCATCAGTCTGAAAAGCGAGGTGCGTTGTGATTGGCCGAATACCTCATGTGTGTGATGGAAATGTTACGTCCCTTACCATACTGTGAT